TAGCTGTATCCGAGTTGCCGGCTTAAACCCTTGATCACACACATGCACAGTCCCAGAGGCTGCCCCCAGACCTCTGGGACTGTGCATATGGTCACATGCACACTCCCAGAGGCTTTTCGGAGCTTACACATCCCATCCTCTAACTTTCTCTGGAGGTTCTGATCCTTGCCCTTCAACACATCATTGAGCCCAGCATGAATAATGACTAGATTATTGCCCTCCATGATGTATTCTACAACCTCCTGAGCTTTGGCCAGTGCATTCACTATGCTCTTCCCTGACTGTGCCTCCACCCTTACTCTCCCATCTTCCTTCACTGTCTTGAAGACGCCATCCCTAACCCTGGCCACGTTAGAGTCCCCCACCACTAGGACCCTTCTGCGCTCCAATCTCTGGCTTCCTGTTTGTGATGGTGTGATGGCGCCCCTGTTGGCTTCACCTGTTTCTCTCTCTGCCGTCTGTCCTGTTTTTCTGCCCTGCTTGAAGACTGCTGCGCTACCGAGCTGTATGTTCTCGGAGCCTCCGTGCTGTGGCCAGACACTGCGGCCCCCTGACCTCCCTTCTCGCCTGTTCCTTCCCGCCTGTCGCCTTCTCCACTATCCACACCTTCCGTCTCGCACCGCTCGGTGCCGGGGCAAAGCGCCATTAGCTCCTTTACCCGCTGCTCTAGCTCGGTCCGCCCTTGCCGTTCTTTTCGAAGGTCGTCCTTCATTTGCTCTAATAGGCTGGCGGTAGCCTCCTCTCGCTCACGCGACACTCCGAGCTCTTTTTGGAGTCCTATGCTTCGCTCCCGTTCCACCCTAAGCTCCCCCTGAAGCCCCTTGATGCTAGCCTCCATGCGCTGCACGGCCGCCTTCAGTGCCTCGCACAGCTTGCACACGAAGCTCGCCTTCTGCGCATCGGCCAAACTCGTGAATGCTGTCTCATCTAGGTAGCACCAGCGCTTGCATTCTTTGCACTGCACCAGCTCACTCTCGCTCATGGTTTTCCTAGCCTCCTTAGCCATCGCCTGCCCGACCATCGGACCGAGTGCACGACAGGCCTACTTTCAACCCTAATCCCGCTATCCAGCCGCCTTCGTTAACTCTCCTACCTCAACAACTGTTTGAAGCTGCCGCCTACACCGCACACATACGTGTTCAATTTCGCTAGTAGCCTCTCATTAGGTCCCCTTCGTATTCGGCTCTAGCTCTTTAACAACTAACCGGGCGCCCCGACCTTCTTCAAAACAGCCGCCTAGCCCGTTCACGTGGTCAACGTCACTACAACGTTGCCCGTGTCCCCCACCTACAATACTCGCAACGCTAATTATTGATTAGGAGAGAAAAAATAATAATGGTTACAAAAAAAAGAAAGAAATTAACAGAAACTTATCTCTCGTTGCGCACTGCTGCACCAACTGACCTTGCACAACTGTGCACGACCTTGAATCCGCCGAACAGGCGGACCGCGCGAAAACACGTCTGCACGGCTCGGAAATAGAGCCACTGATGATGATACACCACTGATGATGATACATCTCGGAAGTAAAGCCATTAATGATGATAGGGTGCGCCATCTGGCGCCATCTCTTAAGCATCAAGCGTACTATTGCACAGAGGTTCAATCCAAGCCAAGCCAAGCCAAGCCGAAGTGGCCAGTGCGCGATGCGGCGTGTTTTGTATGTTGTGTCGGGAATCTTGGCACGTTATGGGGCGATACTGAAGCCAAACGGCTGCTTCAAGTTGCAAGTGATAGATCATGCGCTAAACAACGGCAACAGGGCCGCCGGTAGACCCTTCAAAGCCTACGAGTTTTGTGTTCGCTACTGGTGACGGCAGCTGAAAGCCACCAAGACGCGTTGGGCCTGCCGTGTGCCTAAAACTGGGATTGATGGTAAACTTTATTTCTTCAGAAAGAAACTGCGGAAGATTCTGTTAAATAGAATCTTTCGCAGTTTAGCCATCATTAAATAGAATCTTCCGCAATAGCCATCAGCCCAATACTGACGTCTTACGCTTCCCTTTTGAGGGCTCCTGTTGAGCGCCGATCGCTGCCGCTACGCCCGCAACGCCAACAAGCTTCGCGTATGGTATTCTAATTCTTGACTATTTGCTTCCACTTTTTGTGTCTCAAATAAATCTTGCCTTGTGTTGAACCTCTGCTTTTATTGTTGAGGTAAGTTCTAATTAGTACTTCTTAAAGCTTGCTGTAAGTTGCTGGTGCGAGAATCCCGATTTGCGGCCACTTTGTTTTCTTTTTCGCTCTCTGCGTTTTTGTGGAAAGTTTTCCTTGCGTAATTTTTGCACCTTCCAACTTTGCATCGGTTTTCTGGCAAAAAAAGTGCGAAGATTATGCGAGTAAATACAGTAGTTAGTTTGATGATAATGATGATGAAAGTGAGGCGATGAATTGGCGCAGGGACTACTCTGAGCACTGTATTACAATTAATTCTGCCATTACAGTGGACTCCTCTTGAATGGAACTCGAAGGGACAAGAAAATTTATTCCATTTGTGAGAAGTTTTATTCACGCAAAGCTTACAAAATGAATGAAATATGACTTTATTTCAAAAGCACCAACTATTGCTGACTGGACAAAAAGATTTTGAAGTATACAACCAGGGGCGGCGCCAGGATGTTTTTACTGGGGGGGCAACCACAAAAAGTGAGTTCCTCCGGGGGGGCAAGCTAGCTCGGCTCCTACTAGGTTTTCAATATATGCTTCCGGGCACTTGGGTGGGCATAGGGGGGGCAGGCGAGAATTTTGGGGGGGCTCCAGCCCACCCTTGCCCCCCCCTGGCGCCGCCCCTGTATACAACACTACTATAGCTGATTAGAAAGAGAAATGTTGAATTGCTGACTTGGAAAAAAGGAAATGATAACTTGCTCGGCCTTGTTCAAGTACTTTCTCACATAGTAGGCGTGCATTTCTGAAAAGCTTCGCAGAAACTCTGTCCCAGCATCGTGGTCAAAGTAGCGCTGCAACAGGATGACTGCATCTCTTGCTGCACTGTCAGCCTCTGAAATGAGCTCGGGATCACACAACACCTCATCACTACCCGAGCACAGGTCTTCATCTTGAACTTCAGCTATAGGTTCCTCAAGGCTGTCCTCAAGTTCACGACAAGACGTCAATTGCTGCTCGGCGTGCGCGGACATAAGCAATCGCTGGATTGGCTTGGCTAGGCTAGGCAAACTGTCGTTTGTTTCATGGCTGCTAGACTGCCGTGGCCACTTTCACCGGTCATGCATTTTGCCCGTTTTAGTTCCGTTTAACCGACGTAAGCGGAATAAAATGTCCTGATTACCCGAAACTCTTTATCATTAAATATATAGGAGACCAACCAAACCTGCCTAGATAGTTTCGTTTATGCAGCTTTTCCGTTTAACCAAGTTTCGTTTAATGGGAGTCAACTGTATATGTTTATTAGAAAAAGAAGATTGAGCTCACAAATTTGTTTTTAAATTTATGTTGAAATCTTTGTGTGTGATATAAGTTATTTTTAATTTTTTATGTGTTTTGGTGACATTAGTTCAATGAAATTTTCAGAAGCTTGGTATGTTCTCTTGGCACTCTCAAGGGGCAATGTACTTAATTCTTACTGATTAGGAAATGCACATGACCTTGTAGATGCCATCAAAATCTTTGCTGGCACAGTGTTTAGGGGGGGAATTTTTAGGTGGGATTGCCACCTGCATTGTCTTTTCGTGTGTACTTGCTTACCAAGTGTCCTCTAGCGGTAAAAGTGGTGATTTCCGTATTGTGAAATTTTAGTTTACTAGTATGTTAAGAGTAGTTTTTTTCTTATTGTTCCTTTAATACGAATGACTATGAAACACCTGTTATGAACTCCTCGTTGCAAATCCTTCGAGTGCATGTTTGGCTATCATACTGAGCTGTCCTCATTCAATGGCTTTACAGAATTAATCTGAAACATTTGTCTCGATAGGTAATGCTTCCCTGACGGGAAACCGTAGAAAGGGGGCACATTTCTCTTGCCATAATAATTTGTTGACCTCAGTGTATTGGCGTGTATGAGTCTCACTAATAGGCAAAAGATCACGCCACAGCATAAGCACATCGAAATGCCCGAGCTGACCGGTGGTCGTCTGCTACCTTTCGAACTGCATAGGGGGCGTTAGCAAGTGTTGCACTTAAGCATGTGCAGTTCAGTTGCTTGGCAGGGCCTCTTTGAAAGGATTTCTACCAGCACAGCAACAAACTAAAGAATAAGTCGTTGGTGCACCGAGCACGCACCTTCGTACCATACTCGGCCTCGTTCTCAAAAGTGCTTTCGACACTGTGAGGCACACGGTCATACTGAAGAAGATCAATCAGCTAAACCTAGGGGAGAGATTTCATCGATACGTCGGCAGCTTCCTCGATGGGCGAGAAGTGCGAATGAAGATTGACGGGTTACCACCAAAGACTGTCGAGATGGCAGGTGCCGGGACGCTGCAAGGCTTCGTGCTCTCCCCACTGCTGTTGAATCCCGTTATGATCGGCCTTCCGGAGCGGCTTGTCGCAATCAAAGGCATCAATCATACAATCTACGCAGACGACATTACAATATAGACCAGAGAAAGCATGAGCTCTGGGAGTACGCTAGATAGGCTGCTGCAAGCGGTAAGGGAAACTGAGATGCATCTCGAAGGCACGTGGCTCGTCTGAGATTCTGCTCCACAGACCTCGAAAACCGGGACGTTTCCCGAGGGACGTGGCCGAGGCACGTCAGACGGTTGTGTGTGTTTAAGATACGGGTCCTCGGCCTCTGGCTGTAAGGAAACGCTGCCAATTCCGAGCTGGTCACGCGGCTGCGGAAGAAAAATAACGAACAAGAAGAAAGGAATGAAAGAGCACAATGTAGTGAGACTAATGCAGGCGTATGCTTTAAGCCACATCATGTACATTGCTGCTTACATCAATTGCAGTAAAAGCGAAAGCAACTAGCTGGACACGATCATGCTCGGGGCTTACAAAACTGCATTATGCATACCTCACTACAAGACCAACTGCAGGCTCTTTGAGATGGACGTGCACAACACGCTCGCCGAAATCGTCGAGGCTCAGAGGAGCGCGCAGCTCGAAAGACTGTCAGGCACCAAGACCGGAAGAACCATCCTCGACTCCCTCAAGATTCGTTACCACGGGATGCGAGGACTGAAGGACGCGCTATTGAGAGCGGTCAAGAATGCTATACTCACAGAGAGTATGCCCAGAAACATACACCCAATGCACGATGCCGAAAGGCGCAGTTTTGCAGAGTTGAGGCGATCCTCAAAGAGCATCGCAGTTGAGAGGGTGTCCTTTTTGTCAACGCTGCTAGATACCCCTGGCCCGACCAAAGACAACAGCAGAACAAACGAGAGCAACGACGACGCCAATCAACACCTGCCTTCTATATGGTGGTGGTCGACACAAGGGAACAAACTCTGGTGACAGGATCTGCGAGGCTCCCATCGTCTGAGGCGGCAGAAAAAAATGGCCACAGCCCCTGCAATAATTCATAGTGGAAACGAGGACACACTTATCGTGACGCCAAGACGGCGCTCCGAAACTTTACGAAGGGATGGGTCTCTGTGGAGGTGGCGCGCATGCTAAACGCCAGAACCAAAGATTTCAAGTCTGGCGCGATTTTTGCCAAGTCTCTCAAGTGGTTCCCCGCGCACGTGGGAAAGCTTAGCAGTGACCAAAGATCTGACCTCCCGTCGAACCACAACGAGCGTGCCCACTTCGTCTCGAGACTGCTAACCTGCCGCGACGCAGACGAAAGGGCCGCCGATGTGCAACACATCGACAATGGCGAGGCACCCAAGGTAGGAGGGCATAATACCTCTGTGAAGACGATAACAGACCCGGAGGCCTTACAGGACTGTAAGGACATCATGGTTACGTTCCACGAGATCCTAAACCATTATAGAAAAACGCGACATTACCTACCACCCCACATCCAGCTACAGAGGTCTTAGGTGCTTGATCTGAGGCGTCTGCAGACAGACACATTTAGAATCCCCGACATCTGCATAGACTGTGTCCCTCGCTCCATCCGTCACCCGGCTGTCCGTGGTGCGGGCATGAGACAGCCGACATGGCACATATACTTTGAGAGTGCGAGTGCAATGTTCGCTGCCACTACTCAGACGAGCGTGAGTGTACCCCAAGACGACTGGCTGAGCAGTTGGGAGTCGCCCTTCTCAGCCCATGTGCAGTAGACCAAATCTGGGCTGTTCAGCGAGCCAGGGCTATCGCCGAGGGCATCGCACAATGCCCCGCGGATGACAGCTCCTGGAGGCCTAGCCCGGGCCAGTAATTTCTCGTTGGATCCTTAATAAAGTTAATTACCTACCTACCTATAGTGTCTATAAATGCCTATTTTGGACGTTCGTGCCTAAATTCTTTTACATTCTTATCAATGCCTGTTTTTAAAATCGGTGTCTATATAAACGCTATTTATCCTCAAATTTTGCTTTCCAGTACTGCTGGAGTACGGTATTCATGTTACCCGGTGAAATTGAGCTTTCGGAACACTGGGGTGGAACCTATACTCCATCTCATAAGTTACTTTCAGCACTGTCAAGCTTACAAGGTCTTATAGCCAATATGAAGGTCAATAAGCCTCTACAAGTGTATTCATATGCATCGCGTCGTCTGCTTGCGCATCTCTCCAGCTGATCGCTCGCTTGCGTAGGGAGCAGGAAGTGCTTCTGTGCAGCGGCAGGGCGCTGAAAAACGAATGCGAAAACATGGAGTGTTATCAGGGGAAATTAAAGTGCAGATAAGAAAAACGATATCCATGGGATTTTTGTTTGTCATTTACTTCCTAAATGGAACTTCACTAGGTCATATGAGAAAATTTACTTAAACAGTAGAAGTTGTTCGTGCCCAATGAAAAGCTTTGTATCATTAGAATTTTTAATTGGTTCATTACAAGATGCGAAAGTATGATGTGAGGAGGTGAGCTTGAAACTTTTGCCACTCACTCGATGTAAACTTTGCAAGCCCAATTCCTTCCCTGCCCTGTTTTGTATCAGAGCAGCTTGGAGCTGCAGGACCACACGATGTGGACTCATCAAAATGTCATGCGCACGTAAGTACATTCGCATTACATGTTCGTGCCAGGTCGTGCACGCAAGCGGTGTTCTGTCGTTTTGACGTTCTCTGTGTTGTACTGCCTGTTTCTGTGGTGTGGATCCCTCTATGCGTGCACGTTTGGAGAGGCTGGCATGGATCACGTATCTTTACCACTATACACAGCATCGCACCGCTGAAACTCTTCTAAAGGACGATGCACCAAAAACACACCATGTATTGTGAATGTTGGCACCGGCACGTTGCGAGAACACCAATGCAAACGAAATGGAGACAGCTTAGTCTCGCATCTCGCTTGATACGAAGTTAAAAAAATAACACACGTAGAATCGGTCTGTATGTTTTAATATTTCTGTCACTCTTCATACTACTATCCAGGCATTAGATTGCACAAATTACACTCGTCGTCTCGAATAGTTCTTGCAGTGTCACATGCTACTTTGACGTACAAAAGACCATTCCATCACCTCCAACCATGTTGGGGCGCACGCTCGTGAGATTGGGTCAAGCAGTGTTCAGACTGGCATTTTACCTCTTTGTGGCACGCGTATAAGACTGCCAATCTTGGCAGATGAAATGGTGAGCGTCCAGTGCATGCATTACTCTTCGCATCGCTTAAGGGGCCCTTTCAGTTTCACATACAGAAGAAAATACCGTATTTACTCGCGTATTCCTCGCACTCACATAATTCTTGCACCCCCCCACATCGCCCAACAAAAATATGATTTCTTTTTTCCTTGAGTAATCACCGCACTCCCGAAAACCGCCTCAATAATGTCGTCTGCTCGTTACAACCACTGATGATTATAGCGCGTGCCGTCTGGCGCGATCTCTTAAGCATGTAGCGTACTATTATTGCACTGAGAATTCAATCCAATCTAAGCCAAGCAAAGTGGCAAGTGCGCGTTGCGGCGTGTTTTATACGTTGTGTCGGTAATCTTGTCACGTCATCGAGTGATACTGAAGCTACACGGCTGCTTTTAAGTTGAAAGTGATAGATCATGCACTAAACAACGGCAACAGGGCTGTTGGAAGGCCTTTTGGAGTCTACGAGCTTTGTGTTCGCTACTGGTTATAGCAGCTGAAAGCCACCAAGACACATTGGGCCTGCCGTGTGCCTAAAACTAGGATCTATGGTAAACTTTATTTCCTCAGAAGAAAACTGCGAACGATTATGTTAAATAGCCATCAGCCCAAAACTGACGTCCTACGCTTACCTTTTAAAGGGCTTCTGTTGAGCAACCAACGCTACCGCTACAACCGTAACGCCACAAGCTTTGCGCGTGTTATTCTAATTCTCGACTATTTGCTCGCATTTTTTGGGCCTCAAATAAATCTTGTCTTGTGTTGAACCTATGCTTTTATTGTTGAGATAGGTTTTAATTAGTACTTCTCAAAGCTTGGTGTTAGGTGCTGGTGTGAGAATCCCGATTTGCGGCCTCTTCGTTTTCTTTTTCGCTCTGTACGTGTTAGTAGAAAGGTTTCCCCGCGTAATTCTCGCACCCCCAACTTTGCATCGGTTTTCCGCCAAAGAAAGTGCGAGGATTATGCGAGTAGATACGGTATAGCCTGTGCGGTTAGACCAAGTTAATACGAGGCAAAAAGATGTTTCTGGCCTATTGCGCTCTGGCTATTTGCACCTACGTAGCCCTTTTCAGCGTGGCTGAAAAGAGAGACCCAGAAGCATGTTTCTTCCACAGTGGACACTAAATCGCCATGCTGGAATGTGGAAATAGAGACACCACATTCTGCGAACCCTGCGGGAAAAAAGATGCATGGCTATGCTAAATCATTATGCCTTTGTGCCATCATAAACTTAAGCAATTCTGTTTGCTTTCCTGTCTTAGACACAGATCACACACATTTTTTTCATAAATTTGAATTTTGTCAAGGTTTATTGTTTATTTATTTACGATTTTGGGAGCCTAAAACGGTGTTTTGGCCGCCTATTTTTAGCGCCTAAAATCCGGTTTTTTAGTGCCTATAAGTCCAGCCTCTAATTATGATACTACATAACTAAAACTTTGAAAGCACAAAAAAAAAAGGTTGTTTTGCTTGGCTTTTGTAGTGGAGTATTGTTGTTGCAGAAGGTGACTGCTTCAACATAATCAAAGGAACTTTGAGATTGGTAAAGGCTTGAATAAATTTCCTTGTTTCCTTTGTATTTTTCATGCACAGCAGGGACCCTAGTGTGTGCAGTTTTCTTGTGCACATAGTGTTGGAGCCTCCTCATTTTGTCAAAGGTTTCGGGGGCCTTGTTTAACAAGAGGCAGCAAGATGCGTTCGCTTAAATCTATCATTACTGTTCATCATGCTGACATGATGGCTGGGGGCACTTGTGGTCATTAAGTGAATTTGTTAGCATCAAAGTCAAGCCTTGTCTCTCTTTCCATATTATAGTTTCCCGCCTAAGGTTTGTCTGAATTCCCTTTAGCTTTCATTCCCCCTTGCACATTCCCATATTCTGTCCCACCATTTCTTGCCATTTCTCCACAACTGATGACGATAATGACCATACACGACTTGCACGTTCTCTTGCTTATCGTAACCCTACTATGAAGTCTGTGTGCGCTGCTGTTTTCTTCATATGTTATTCTTGTTTTCCTGTGTGCACGTCATGATTTTCAGTACTCTTCTGGCCATACTTCATTATAAGTCTTGAGACAGAGTACAGGTGAACTTGGTTATATTGAACCCTGATGTATCAAATTATTTTGCTCTAGTGAACAGATGCAAAACCTCATTTACCTTCATATTCAGTGTATATTAGGACACTATTGCCCCTGCCACTGCACCTCCCAGAAGTTGGTCATAATCACTTGCATCATTTGAAATATTAATGCTGACAATGCAGCTTTGCTTCCCAGATGGTGTTAAACAAATACCTAATTGCCAGATTTTGTGCTAAAAGCAAAGCATTACAACACTAAATTTATGTCACAGAGCCCCTTATATGCTAGGGTCATAGTATAGTTGAAAGTTTTAATTTGTTCACTTTGAATGCATTTTGTGCTTTGCTGTGTAATGTATTTTATTGTCTAAAAATTAAGTTCCGTGAATATTGTCTTCTAGTCTCATTTTTCAACTTTGTTGCAGTCCTCGTGCATGTATGAGGGCAACATGGCCAAAACAAGTGAAGCAGGAGCCCTCTTTTCCAAGTTTTAAAGAAGAGGAGATCCAAGATAGTGAGTGCCATATATTACCTGGGATGTCGTCTTTTTAATAGCTCAAGGGTAGTAGATTGTCTCGGGCTTTAAATTTAGGGAAAAAAATAGTAATGACTTGCAATATGCTTTGTCAAGAGGTGAAGGTTACTGGAAAAAATGTTTCACTATTTCGAAGATTTATTTCACTGCACATCACCACCATGTGAGGTGAATTCAAAAACATTTGCACTCTTATGGTTGAAACTTACGGAACTTATGGTTGAAACAGATTGACACCAATCAAGATGCTGTAATGGAGGGCTCCAGAAATTTCGAGCATCTGGTGTTCTTTAATGGGCACTGACACGGCATAGTACACAGGCCTTTGGTGTTTCGCCTCTATCAAAATGTGACCTCCATGGCTAGGATTTAACTCGCAACTTTCAGGCCAGCAGCATGAGCATCGTAACTAGTGTACCACCGAGGCGGACAAAGTTGTAGTGTTGTTAGCTACCAGCTCAATGTTAGCTACCCAAGATTCTCCTGGTGGTTGTTGCATACAAGGGATTTTAAGGGAGGAGGGACACAGGTCTTGGAGGGTCGAAAATCACGAAAAAATTAACTTTTTGAAACTGACATTTTCGGAATCTCATGAAAGTATGTGATATCAAGTTCCCTGCGCAAATCTTTTGTCATGTACATTTGTTGCCCCTAAGAGGAAGCAAAAGTGGTGCGCCAAAAAACCACCCACTTTGCCGAGTGATTGCGTCGTTTCATAGCCTAAAGCAGCTTTATTTGGATGGTACAAAAAACAAACGCTCCGCCCCGGTGGTCTAGTGGCTAAGGTACTCTGCTGCTGACCCGCAGGTCGTGGGTTCAAATCCCGGCTGGGTTCAATCCCCCTAACCTTCTGTCTCCTTCTGGGGAGACAGAAGATTAGGTGGGCAGACGAGATTAAGAAGTTTGCGGGTATAAATTGGCAGCAGCAAGCACAGGATTGGGTTAACTGGCGGAACATGGGAGAGGCCTTTGTCCTGCAGTGGACGTAGTCAGGCTGATGATAATAATAATGATAATAATAATAAAGAACCCCAGGTGGTCAAAATTTCCGGAGCCCTTCACTACGGCATCTCTCATAATCATATGGTGGTTTTGGTACGTTAAACCCAACATATCTATCAATCAATCAATACAAAAAACAAACAAGGACAGTTCCTTCAGCGTGCACTTTTTTTAAAAGTGCCTGACGTGTGTGAACAAATGCTGTTCAGTTTTCTCACACTGTTGACCTTGAGCTAATGTTACACGCTTGAAAAATGCAGCCTGCCGTCAGTGTTGTCACTTACTAATGAGAGGTTTTGCGAACATGCACCAATGTGAGAATAGAGAGGCCAGTAAGCCAAAAGCATTCCGGGAAATTTTCATGACAAGCATACAAACTTCCAGCAGTCTCCTGGACAATCCAGCAGTCCAGCAGTCTCCTGGACAATCCAGCAGTCCAGCAGTCTCCTGGAAAATCTTGGAGACTCGGCAGCTATTCGTTTAGTGCCAGGGCAAACACTCTCCTCCAGCCGTCGAGCGTGCGCTCCACCGGCACTCTCCGCGGCGCGCTGTGCGAATAGACTTCGGGAAGCTGGCGCTTGATGGCCGCACGCCTAAGCTTGTGAATTCTGTTTCTGCTAAGCTTGTGAATTCATGTTTACATCGAAATTTAAGTGCACTCGTGCTTCTCGCAGGGTTTAACAGGCACGAGGGGGGGGGGGGGTCAAAAGTTCCCAGGCCATGCTCCTTTAGGAATACATGGACTGGTTAGTGAAAATTTACCATCCAACGTGAAAATTTACTGTCTGCGTCGGTGAGGTCCACACGAGGGATACAAAAAGTCATTGGGATTTGCTATCATCAACATATGGTTTCACAGTTAGCCAAAATTTGGGACCTTTATCAAGGCGTCACTATTACAGCATTAAGTCACGTTATACATGGTTATACATCTTTATACATGGTCATTTTGCACTGCCGTCGTCATGGGTGGGTCGATAGCAGAGGCAATGCGATGCCACGTGAGGTTAAGAAAACAAAAAAAAGCTATCAGATAAGGTGTGGAAGAACAATATATCAACTAATGAAAAAAACAAACATAGGTTTCGCCTTTGATTCGTTTGAGGTAAACGCATAAGGTACCCTGTGAGTTTTTGTTTTGAAGAGCGACGCACGGTGAGTCATGGATTACATTCATTGCACCATTTTAACACCACAAAATAAAAGCATTTATTCTAGAGGCAAAACTCGCATGTCATTCAAACGTATGCCACTCTCACTTTGGAAAAAGGGGCTTTATGTGATATGTTTAGGAGCGCTGTGCTTGTCGGTAACATTCAATGCGTCGTTCCCATGCTTCGTTCAATTGTTAGCATCGGCTGCAAATGTTAAGGGTAGTCTTGAAATACTGACGGTACTTTATCCTTTTTAACCTGTTGTTTTTTTTTCCTTCTATGAAGTCCTCTGGTTGTAAATGGCGGCTACATACTCGTATATAGTACGAAGCTGTATTAGGCAATCAATCATCTCGCCAGATCGCAGCAAGCCACCTCTCCGTTCACCAGCAGCAGCTGGTATATCATGGAACGGAAGCCTGTCAGTGTTTTTGTTTTTTTCTGCTTGATTTGCACAGCAGTACCTAACAATAAGACATGCTGGGACACTCAAAGCACGTCATTGCGAATGGCTTAAATAGAGTATAAATCTCAAATACTATCAAAACCAGGATCATTTTTTGCACCGGTCTCACAGCCAGATAGCTGTGAGACCGGTGCAAAATTTCTGACTGCATTCGAGATAGGTACAAGGGGGGGGGGGGGGGGGGTCAGCAGTTCCTAGGCCACTAACTAGCCCATGTATTCCTAAGAGAGCATGGCCTGGGAACTTTTGACACCCCCACCCCTCCTGCCTGTTAAAGCCTGTGAGAAGCACGAATGCACTTAAATTTCAATGTAAACATGAATTCACAAGCTTAACAGTACGTGTGGTCATCGAGCGCCAGCTGTCCGTAGTGTACTCGCACAGTGCTGCTGCGGGGAGTGGCGGTGGAGCGCGTGCTCGACGGCTGGAGGAAAGTGTTTGCCCTGGCACTAAATAAATACATGCCTGCCAAGCCTCCAAGATTGTCCAGGAGACTGCCGGATTTTGTCCGTTTCTTTCGTTTGTATGCTTGCCATGAAAATTTCCCAGAAATCGAAATTTCTGTGCTTGATCTCGCCTTTTCAACAAGAATGCAGGTCAATCCGCTCCAGGCTATTTGTGAACCGTGGTAGATACGAATTCATGAAATTCCCCACTCAAATTCCACTGTGTCCTTCCGACCAAAATTCAATGTTTCGAACACTTTTCCTAATCGCAGTGGGTGATATCAACTTTACTACTAAAATCGTTGAACAAAAGGCTGAGAACAGGGTGCTTGAACTTCAGAAGTACGCGTGCGGCCAGTGCACGCACTGTTTTCTACTGTGCGTGTGGTTGTTTTTGCCGCAACTGCGATCGTTCTTGACATGATCGTGTATGGCGACAACGTTACTGAGAAAATTCGTAAAGTGTGTGTGCGTACAACGCTTGACCAGTCAAAGCAACGATGCTTTCCGCAGACTCTGTGGAGAATACTGTGGTAAATGCGATCATAGATGGCATAAAACGAATTAGTTTTGAAGGCACGTGCGCAGCCAGCGCACGCGAGCTTGAAAGTGGAACTACTGCTTTGCTGCTTCCGCCAGTGTACAAAACCGCGGTCGCGGTGACGCGATAGCAATCTATGAGCTCCTAGGGGACGCGTCTGGCTTAGCGGTATATTAAAGGCAGTAAAGACGTAGAAATGCTAGAAGCATTTTGGCGTTCCTGTGAAAGTAATGAAGTAGCGAGCAAAGCTCTGACCCGCGCTTTCGTGGCAGCCAGCTCCGCCATCCCATGCGTTCACGTGTTGACATACGCGAGTTGTTTGGATGGAAATAGGTTTTGCTAGTAGTTTTAATGACATGAAGTAGGTTTTGCTAGTAGTTTTAATGACATGAAGCTTCGGGAGTGTTTGTGCTCCCACTTTGAGACTCTCGCCCTAAAGGTAAACTCTGCAATCGTGTGTTCAGCCACTCCAAGCCATTATAAGACCGCAACGCCGATGCTTGCGATTGGGACCACCCTCTTTCTATTGTTTTTAGTGCATGCGATTGGGACCCCTCTCTGCCCATGGCCTTTTGTTTTTGTGATGTATATTTTTTTTCTTTTGGTGCCAAAAAAAGGGGAAAAAAGAGCGTGGCGCCTCCTCCCCCCCCCCCCCATTGCAGAAATCTCCCATATTCAGAAACCTTGAGCAGGTATAAGCGCTCTTCTTCAGCGCTCTTTCTGTCTACCCTGTCCCTTTTCCTATGTTCGCGCGCTGAAACAATCTTGCAGGTATAAAAATTTAGGCACTGGTCAGGCCTAATGGACACGAGACCAACGAGCATGTCAGTTGCTGACAACGTGTGGAAAGCGGCCGTGTACGTCATGACAACCAGATTTTGCAGCTGCAACAATTGAAAGACAAGAAAAGGAAGGCAGAGAAGAAGCTGCATCAGATTGCATTCGTTGTGGCGGCGGAACGAAAGCGTAGCCTTATCGGTGAACATGCCGGTGCCACGGGTGATGCCGCTGATGAAACAACCTTCACCGTCTTGGACTTGAAGGCGGCAAATGCTTTGATTTTATTTCCCTTAAAGTGCAAGATTTGCAACGGAGGGGCCGAGATAAGGAGAAACGATCAGGATTTAGACCTTGCTGTCAAGCTTGAGTTAGTGTGGATGAACTGCAGTGAAGTTCGCCGCGCATAGACTGACAGCAGAAAATAAATCTATTGGCAGTGAACGTACTCGCCACCCGCGCATTGCAGGCTACTGAAAACAGGCAGACTGCTTTCAGCGACGTATTTGCAGGAACACCACTTTAACAAACTTTTCAGATGAACAAACTTTTAAAAAATTCCGCACCGACTGCTAATAGTTTCAATGCAAAAT